GGGATCGAGTCCCGCATCGGGCTCCCTGCTCGGCAGAGTGTCTGCTTCTCCCTCTGACCTTCCTCCCTCTCATGCTCTCTGTCTCTCATTCTCTCTCTCAAATAAATAAATAAAATCTTAAAAAATAAAAAATAAAAAAAATGTTTAAGCATTTAAATTATGTCACAATATGGCATTACTACAATTTTGAGAGGGAAAACTCTAGGTCTGTTTATTATGCTTTGATGACCTCTATTGTTAATAGTAATTCAAATTATGTACCTTGTTTCAATCGGCTCTCATAGCAATCGTGCACATGGGTATCATTATTCCATTTTACCAATAATGATACTAAGACTCAGGATCATCCAGCTAGTAAAGCAGCAGAACCAGGATTTGAACCCTGTCTGCTACATACCCCAAAGCGCTGGCTTATCTATTACCAAGATGCTTTAATTCAACTAGTGGTTTCAGTGCCCCATGGACAGTGTCTCTATTTGAAAAGTACACCTAATCTTCGTATAGAAGAAGCTGTATAATAAAAATCACACAGGCTTAGAATCAGAACTGGTCCATATCTATTAGGATGTACCATATAATATTGCGATATTTGCAAATAAAAATAAGTCATTTTCAGCAATTTCATTTGGTTCAGTCATTTGGTTCTAAGTGAAATAAGATTACAATAGGCTCTGGATTATGAAATTAATATGAAATTCCCCAGTGTCATCAAGGAAATGTTTTTATGTTTCTGGGGACTCACTTTAATGAGAAATGTACTAGTGTTTATATAATAAACCTGTCTGAGTTTCTGGAGCCAGGGGCAACTGTTAATTATATTTAAAAATCTGAGTAAAAGCAACTTTGTTGTATTCAACACAGAATCCCAAAAGTGATTAAAGCTTCCCTGTCCTGCAGCTGAAATAAGTCACTATACTTGTACCTTCTTGTGGTTTCTGCAAGGAAGCCAAGAGCAGAGCTGCTGCTTCTGGAAGAGTTAGTAGTTGGGGATTTGGGCTGCGTCTCTCTGGAGAAACAAAAGTATATACAGATTCTATTAGCATTTAAATATTCCTGTTCTGATATGCTCCAAATAGAAAAACCTTTATGAAATAGATTTTTGATCCCTTAGCAAATCACCCCCCCCACACACACACACAGAAGACTGATTTTTAGGAATTTAAACATTTTATAGTTCCTGTGGATGTTACTTACAATTGGTTATGGTGTGTATTACAGGTATGGAAGAGATTTTAAACTCTACAGAGAATTTCACAAAAGGAGGGTAAATTGAGGTAAAGAACTCTGAATAATTTCACCCTTCAGAGCTTAAAATTGAATGTCTGGGCAGAAACATTGAGATGTAATGGATACTCCTGGGAGCCTGGGCAACTTCCTCTTCCATTCCGTCCAAAGCTGTTTGAAATAATAATTACATTCCTGGCCACGCTTAGAGCACATAACAGTCCCTGGCCCTATTCTTAATGGCCCCTACCTGTTAACAATTTCTGGTTTTTAACTGCTTTATAGCCCTTCTAGTAATGCAATAGGGGAGTACACTTGAAGTTTCCAGGTAAATCACTACTTTAATAACAACAAAAACATTTAAGAGGAAACCGTTTAAAGGTCTTGGCATAAACGGGGAGGTACATTTTAGGGGCAGTTGCACCGTTCTCGCTCGCCCTCCTTCACTCCTGGAAGGTGAACCCCCAGGCCTGGCCTGTCCCTGGATAACTCCCCCGGGGACCTCTGCACACCCGGCGGCCAGAGGGCGGTCGGAACAGCCGAGACCGAGTTGTTCAGCTTCGGGAACCTCAGCTCCAGCCTCAGTCGCTCAATAGTGCAGGGCGCCGCGGCCGCCAGCTTAAGCTCGGCCCTGGCTGGCTCTCTCCCAGGGCGTCCCCGGAGTCGCGGCCCTCGCGGAGGGGAGCCGCTGTCTTGGGGCGCGCGCCCCGCCCGCTGGATCCTGCTGTGAGTCGCCGCACGGGCCTCCTCCTCCCTCGCTCACTCACCGGGCGGCGGCCGGTCGGAGAGGTCCTTCTTCCGGCTCTGGTCCGAGATGAAGGGACGCCCCTCTGCAAAGGCGAGACGCGGGGCTCAGCGGCTGCCAGGTGCTCAACGATCCTGGTTAACCTGGGCTCCGCGCCGTGAGTCCCCAGGCCCGGAGGGGTGGGGCGGCGGCGGCCGGGGTCCGGGCTGCACTGCCAGTTTTCCGGCGCTGGGAGTGCAACCCCAGGCTGCACCAAGCGCCCTGCCCGCGCCCTACCCCTGCGCTGCCCGCACGGAGCCTTGTCCCCTACCCCTGCGCTGCCAGCGCCGAGCCTTGTCCCCACGCCTGCCCGCGCCCTGCCGAGTCCTGCTCGCGCCCTGCCTGCACCTGCTGCACCCTGCCCGCGTCCTGCCCGCGCCCTGCCCGCCGCGGGGAATGGGCTTTGGAGCAGTGGTCGGGTTCAAGGGTCCTTGCGGTGTTTCCCAGGCTACTCCGGAGTCTTCCTGTGCGTCAAGAGCCAGCAACCCTCCAGTTCAGAATGGAAAGGTTCTAATAATCAGGGAGTCTTTCTCTTCTACTGCCCCTTTTCTTTGACCAAGACCAGGCTGACCTCGATTATTTAAGGGAACACACTCAATATTATTCTCTCCCCACACATCTATCCCGTGGATTCATGCACCCCGAAGGATCCTCCTTTATTGCTGTAGGAAGAGCAAAGTATTTGGAACATACGTGCACCCTTCAGGTAGAGCATAGATTGGGGAGTCCAGTTCCTTCTCTCGAGTCCCTACAACCCAGGGAGAAGAGAAAAGCAGTTAGCAAGACATTGTAGCCCAGTCCTCTGTTAGAAAAAAAGAAAGGAAGAGAGGGAGGGAGGGAGAAGAAAGAGAAGAAACAAAAGGAAGGAAAGGAAAAGAAGGAAAAGAAAGAACATCCAGGAGCCCCAGTTTTTGCGTTTGATTACCTGTGGTGCACTGCTGGAATTTCCTAAGAAAGAAAACACTAGAAAAAGAGCCAAGGTTGTTGCCACCAGACTTCTGAGTCCCTACAAGAGAAGATCAAAGAAAGTAATTTCTGTGCCTGTAGGATCTTCTACTTCCGTGACACCTGGACAATTACAAACTTCCTAACTTTTCAATATGCTCTGTTTTAATAATACTTAGTATGTGGGGGAGAGGGGGATTCCTGAGGCTACCTTCTAGTTAATCCACAAAAGAGTTCTCTTCTTAAAAAAAAAATTTAGAAATATGTTACTTTCATTACTTCACCCAAAATGAGTGATTTTTTTTGTAGCAAAATCAAATGATTCTGATATTTTAAGGCATATTGTTTAAATATCCTTTAGCCTATAAAATGCTTATTAAAGGTAAAATAGGTAAAAAGCTATAAAGCTTTTTATAAATAGCTTAAAAGTCTCGACTAAATAAAACTTTTACTTACCTTCATGTTCACCTCCTTTCCAGAGCCTGCGATAACTGTAACTTTACCTGTCAGTTTTCTAATCCTTTTCTGAGAGTGGGGCTTTTAAATCTTAGTGTCAAGGACCCCTCCTGATCTTCAGTAGAGTTAGGGAGTCCATAGGGACTTCTTGTCAGTATTCAAGATTGAGAGGATCTGACAATTTTTCCAGGGAGATTCGTTCGCAGGAAGTAAAGAAATGATTGATGAGTGGACATCACTTATTTACATACTGACCACATCAGCCAGGAGATATTCTGAATATATCAGCATCATTGTTTTTGCTTTTCCCACTAGCTTCCCAAAGTATTTATTATTAGTAGTAGAGAAAATGATTAAAAAGCCCAGGCTGAATCAAAAGTAAATGAATAAATAAGTGAACTTGTCTTGGGTAGCTAGTTATCAAGCTATCACTGATGACTAAACATGAATCAAATGGGTAGAAATAAAAATGTTAGGGAATCTCAATGGAATTCAACATCACTCCTTCACTTATGTATCCATTCAATTATTTAACAAACATTTATTGAATGCCTACTATGTATCAGACATTTTTCTTTCTAGTTCAAGGGACACAGCCATGCATTAAAAAGACATGGTCTTTGCTGTGATCAAGCTTATCTTCTGGTCAGGGGAGAAATTCTGTAAACTAGTCAACAGGTAAATTAGGTAATTATAAATGTTTTAAATGCTTTATAAAGTAAAAATAAGTGAGGTGATGTGATAAGTGCTGGGTTACTTTAGGGAAGGCAGCAATTGAGGGGGTTCTGGAAAGATCAGGTAGAGTCAGACATGAGATGAATCAGAGTGAGAATTAGTGAAACAGGCAGAAGAAAGAAAAACAAAATCTTGGGATGGCAAAGAGCTTGGCTTGTTTGAGGAATAGGGAGACCAATGAGGCCAAACTGAGTGGTCATGGGGTGATAAGGGAGAGTACTTTGAAATGAGGTCAGAGAGGAAGAAATGGTTCATATGGAAACATGGTCATAAGCAAAAGACGATGATCGCTTAGACTTGGGTGGGACTTGCAGGGAATGGAGAGCTGTAAATGAATTTGGGATGTTTGTTGGAGGTAGAAAATTCAGAACCTGTGGATAAATGGGATAAGAGCGTATAAGAAAAACAAATCAAGGATGTGTCTTGGGCTTCTGGCTTAAACATTGGTTATGATAAAGCCATTTACTGAAATTGGGAGACTCCAGTTTAGAGAGGGGAATTAAATTTCAATATTAAGATTAAAACATACATTAAGGATCTAAGTTGAAGTGTGAAGTAGGCAGTTGGAAATGCAAAACTCTACACAGCTCAGCAAAGAGGTCACCAGCCTACAGATTTTTTTCTAAGGGCAGAAATTGTCAAATTTAAGAATTGTAAGAATTTTAAGGCAGGAAAGGGATTGAACGAGAACACTTTGAGAGTGAATGGAATTAAAGAAGAGAAGCAGGGACAGAGCTATGAAAACAAACATGCAGAAATGAGCAAAGGGAGAGCCAGCAAAGCAAGTTGAGGTGAAGATACCAGAAAGAAAAGAGAAATTCCTGGAGACCATGAGGCCGAGGAAGCCAGCAGAATATCCAACCACGTTGAGAGGTCATGGTAGATGAGCACCAGCAAGTGTGCACTGGATTTGGAAATATGATGGTTTTTGAGGACATAAGCTAGATTGGAGTGGGTTGAAAGTGAATAGGATATGAGGAAATAAAGACAAGTGCAGATAGCATTTTTAAGTTAGCTTCACTACATTTCACTAAAAGGGGGCAAGGAAAAATGAAAAAAAATTTTTTTAAAGATTAGATGCTTGAGTGTGGTGGAAGTGTGCTATTATTTTTTGGCCTTTCAGTAACATCTGAACCCTTTCATTTTTAGGGAATTCCTAAAATTCCCTAAATTATGAATTATGGCATTATGAATCTTGGTGGGAGACAAAGCCTTCCTTCTATTGTGCAAGGTGAAAATGTCAGACACTCATTTTCTCAGCCTCCCTGTCAGGTAGGATGTGGGCACATGACACATGCTTCACCAATCAGACCCACTTGGATGGGAAATCTGGAGCTAGGATGGAGGAAAGTGGGAATCAGGAGAGACATTTTCTGGTGCAGCAGTGGTTGCGGTAGGTTTGAGTTTGCAGGGGCAATACCGCCTACAGTGCTCATGTCAGATTCCAGGATGCGGACACCCCTGGAGTGTCCTGCTAAAATCAGGTTTGTTGGTTTCCCGTGATGCCAACTAACAAACCATTTGCAGAACACATATGCTGATGGAGATGATCAGGAGGAGACATTGATGATGCTGAAGAGAAAGTAACTGCTTTAAAGGAATGTGTAGAAGGCAAGAGGGAAAGGATGCAAACTAGGTCAATATCCAGGGGAAACAATTACATACATAGGCAGATACTGAACAAGGACCTGAGTACCCACCATAGGCTAAGGTAAGAAGATAGGCTAAGGTAAGGTAAGAAAGAAAATCCCTTTCCTCTAAAAGTTAGAGTAGTGCTCCTTAGGAATTAATATGCATGTGAATCATCTGGGAACCTTGTAAAGATACAGATTCTGATTTAGTACAGGTGGAGTGAGATCTGAACTTCCGCATGTCTTTTTTTTTTTAAGGTTTTATTTATTTGAGAGAGAGCATGAGCAGGTGGGAGGGGCAGAGGGAGAGGGAGAAGTAGGCTCCCTGCTCAGCAGGGAGCCTGACACTGGGACTCCTTCCCAGGACCCTGGGATCATAACCTTAGCCTAAGGTAGGCACTTAACCAACTGAATCACTGAAATTCTGCATTTCTAATAAACTCCCAGGTGACGCTGATGGATGTTACTCCACTGATCCTAGGACATTTTGAGTAGTAAAGCTTTAGAGGATATAAGTGATAAAAATGAAACTTTGAAAAAAAAAAGAAGATAGTAGGAAGGGAAAAATGAAGGCGGGGAAATCGGAGGGGGAGATGAACCATGCGAGACTATGGACTCTGAGAAACAAACTGAGGATTCTAGAGGGGAGGGGGGTGAGGGGATAGGTTAGCCTGGTGATGGGTATTAAAGAGGGCACGTACTGCATGGAGCACTGGGTGTTATACGCAAACAATGAATCACGGAACACTCCATCAAAAACTAATGATGTAATGTATGGTGATTAACATAACATAATAACATAAAATTAAAAAAAAATGTAACTTTGGAGTCTGTGTGGCTGGGAGAATGGTTAGCCATAGAAGTATCAAGGAGTATGAGGACAGAACAGATAAATTGGATTCAGGATTGAAGTTTGAGGGGCTGATGAGATCTATCTGCAAATACTTGTGTAAGAGAGACTGGGATTTGGGCGATTGATATTTAGACTTGCCAGCCTGTAAAGACATGAGGTTTGGTTAGTAAATGAGAATGGAATACAGAAAATTGTCTGTAGGTAGAAATTTGTGGAATATTTACTCCTTTTAAAATATAAGTCAAGCAAGAAGGAGCCAAAACCATTACTGTAGTGTTTCTCACAATGTTAGAAGAAGGGAAAGAATAAAAACCAAGGACTAATAGGTTAACACCAAAACTGGGTAAAATCTTAATATTTCTTTAAATATTAGACTTCAGGATTTTAGGATTTAATTTCAAGGGATTATAGCAACTTCCAAAAAAGGGCAATAAAAGAAATAAAATTATACATGTGTTTGTTTCAAATGAACTCGTAAGTGAAACCCAATTGCTAGGTAACCTAACAAGCAAAATGCCTATTTCCCCCTCTCCGTACCAAAAACACATAAACATTTTAGAAAGAGGGACAGGAAAATGATTCACCGATAAAACTGTGTCTTGAATTTACGATTTTAAGGAAAAAGGTATGATGTAGTTTGTTTATGAAAGTTTAGCTAATGAATTCACAAGCAGATGCTTTACGTCAAAGCTGCCATTTTCAGCATAATACGCACAAATGAGGAGAATGGTTTTGACATATTATCAATATTGTAGTCTTATCAAAAGCAACATAGTAGAATGCATTTGTCTAAAATGGCATTGCCTCTTAATACGATTTTGTTAAATCATAACACTTTAGGACTTTTACAGGTCCAAGCTTAGAGATGGGCTAAGAAAAGTTATTTGATGAAAGCACTTGACAGATAAAACAATTGAATTTTGTTCTGCTGACATTATGACCAGGCAATGGGCATTGGACAAATTAATATAAACATTTTTTAAAGGCATATTCAATGGAGACCATTTTGCCCGTATCACTGACGTTACCTGAATTCTTCCAGTTGACTGGATCATGCCCAGGTCCATTTATACAATAATGGTCACTGTTTAAATTGTATTTTACAAGGTTAGTGATTATTGTGTTTACATAGAAACTTGGGTAGTTACCTGGATAATATGACTGTTATAATAAAAGATCCAAATTACTTCTTTGATGACAGAATAGAGGATCTTGGTATAATATGAATGAGGTCATTGGTTCATTCTCCTACTTTGGCTTTATTCAGTACCAGGGCCGGTCTACCCTATAGGCCGGCTGTCTCACAAACAGAAGTCATTTCCTCAAAGGGCTACCAGTCAGATTCAGCAGCACAGAGAAGGCCTGCTCTCCAAAATAAAACTCCCCATTCATTGGTCAGCATCTACTGTCTTCCTTTTACTTAAGGTGTTGAACCTCGAGAATCTCTTTTCTGTAATCAAATAATACAAACAAGTGGAAAGTGCTATGAGAGGACAAGGATGGACCAGCTGTTTTGCTATAGTGGGTCAAGAAAGATATGACAGACGTGGACTTTTGATTAGGTCTTGAGAGCTAGTAGAGGTAAGGTTGTGGAAAAGTGTGCCATTGGGGCATCCTACTTCTGTGTCCTACCTCCTACATGGGGTACAGGTAGCAGAAGGGTAGAGGTTGGAACCTTTCAGCACAGAGGACAAGGTTAGAAAGATACCCATTAAAAAAGACTTAAGACTTCTGGTTCACCAGACAATAGTCAAGACCTGCAGTTCAAGTATTGGATTCAACAAATA